CGCTGGCTCAAATCGACATCCTCAGTATCGATTTTGATGCTGTCCTCTGCAGGGTCTGAGTCGGCGGCTGCCACGCGCAGGATGCGCACGAGCCCGGCCCACACGCCAATCTGGCCAGCCGCCGCCCCGTGCTGGGCCTCGCCGGGCCCGTCCTCCCCGCGGGACGCGCTGGCGAGGAGGCTCTGCTCAAGCTGCGCTCCGAGGAGGTGTTCGCGCGCCGCCGGGTCAAACGGGATGGCGAAGTGAGGTCTGTTCTTGAAGTAGCCGATGACGCGCCGCACCCCCGGGACCAGCGCCGTGTACGGCGATGGCAGCATCCACCTCGCGGAAATCCGGCACTGCGTCTGCATGGCCCCATCGGTGAACTGATACCGCAGGCGCACCTCCACGCCGTCTGGCAGGTGGACCCTGAACCCCTGCTGAGGCCCAATGAACGTCACGACGGGCTGGGTCCCGGAGCTCGCGCTCAGGGGGCGCGCCTCGCCCTCGGCCTCGTCCTCGGGCCCTGGCTTCAAGACCTCCTCAGCGAGAGCAGGCTCCTGGTAGTATGCGCTCCAGCCGAAGCTGTCCGCCAATCTTGCCGTCAGCGGCAGCCACGTCCAGCGAGGGCAAATGGCCCCTTCTCTATCGCGCGGCATGTCGTAATCAGCGGGGAGAGGCTCGTGGCGCTTGGTGGCCGGGCCAGCGCAATAAATGCTCCGCTCTTTCGTGGCCGCCACGTGGTTGCCGACGTGCCCTCTCTCCACGGCCATCAGCATCTTCCAGTGCCAAGTGCCGATGATGGCGACATTGACAGCAGGAGATCCAACGCTGCCGTACGAACCGCTGGTTCTCGTGTCACGCTGTAGCTTGCCCGTGCCGATGAGGGTGTTGATCGTTGAGGCGTGCTGGGACGGCGCGGTGTCCCTGGCAGCCCCGCCGCGGACTTCGCTGGTGGTGAGGCCGATCTGGCCAAGAAAACTGTAGGCTTCGTCTAGGTTCACCATCGTGCTGTACCAGGCGCGTGGCGCCCACGCTGAAAGCACGTCATGTTCCTTGACCTCCTGCGGGGGCTGGCGCATTAACCCCCGCGACCAAAGCAAAGTTTTGCGCGCGTCAGAACCTCGCTCTGGCCGTGGAAGCTAATCCATGAAAAGCAATGCTGAATTTCCACTTCGGGCGCGCGGCCCAAGTACCCAAAGGGAAAGTCAGGGTAATAGACGATTCCCAAAACAGTGCTTGCACTTAGGGGCTCTTGCTTGGCTTGACCATCTCGGGGCCGTCCCCGGCTTTTGCGGGCGGTGCCGCCCGTCGCCGTCAGTCGCCGCCGCCCGTCTCGGGACCGCCCCCGGCTTTTGCGGGCGGCGGCGCCCGTCGCCGTCCGTCGCCGCCGCACTGCATGAGGTTGCACCTCGTAGATTGCACCGCATAGAGCGCACCACATAGATTGCACCGCATGTATTGCATTACATAGGTTGCATCGCATACATTTTCCTTTCTAGAACAAATATAGACATCCCCCCCCCCCCCCCCCCCCCACACAACGAGCGCCAACGCGCACCCCCCCCCCCCCCCCCCCCCCCCACCCCCCAAAACACACACGCAAACTCAACGCCTATCACGCACGCACGCACGCCACACACACACACACTACACACACCACCACACACACCACACACACAACACACACCCACACCACACACAACACAACCACACACAACACACACACAAACACACACACACACACACACACACACACACAACACACACACACACCAACACACACACGCAACGCACGCACGCAAACATCACACACAAACACACAACACAACAAACACACCCACACACCACACACACACACACACACACACCACACACACACCACACACACCACACACACACACCATCACTACCCACTCAACACAACGCACGTCACGCACTCAACGCAACCGCACACACACACACACACACACACACACACACGGACTTATCAACCCCCTTTTCCGGACATGCAATGTACACATGACTCTGGCCCCTCGCCCATCCTAACTGTAAACTCATACCATCCTGCGCGATCACGGCCTGCGTGCCAGCGCGCATGTTGCGATTTGCTCAGCAGCTTTGCTGGATAATTGCAGGCGTGGCCCAATGCGTTTTGCCGAACAAGTTGCGGGTGGGCGGGTGGGATGTTTGCACGAGCACGGGAGATGGCGCCTTCAATTTCCCGAAGATGAACTGCACCACGTTGATTGCACCGCATATATTGCAAGAACCTACTGTTTGGGGCCCACGCTGGCGAACATTTTCTCTCGGGCGCGGGGAGGGGCGGAGGGCAGAAGGGGGGGTCGCTCAGGGGCCCCGCGGCCCTTCGCCCGCGCAGCGTTGCGGCCAAAGCGGCCCTCGATCTGACCCCAGTCCCCCGAGCACCGGGCGAAGAGCTCAGTGGGAGTGAAGTCCTGCATTCCAATGGTTTTCACCGTGACCTGCCGCGGCTTCTTGCTCTCCCAAACCTCCGCGGCAAAGCCTGCAGGCGGCTCTGCGGAATCGAGGCGCTCCTGCACGACCGCTGCAATCTCATCGTCGGCAGCAGCGATCATTGCCGAGACGGCAGCAGCGATGCGGCTCTTCCCCTGCTGCGCGTCGCCCCCGTACAGCGCCATCGCGGACAGCGGGGTGACGTCCGCGTTCCTGGGGCGGGCGCAAGCGCGGGGGGGGGCCCAGAGTGGCGATTGACAAATAGGATGAAGGGAATGCGCGCAGCGTGGGCGCGGCGCTACGCGCGTCACAGAAATCCACGCAGAGACGCCCGCCGGCGCGTTGCCCCCCATTCCTTGGAGGGCGGCGGCGCATGAAATCGCCGGCTCTCAGCGGTGATATACGCGCCGCCGCCTTCTACCGGGCTTGGGGGCAATCCACGAGGAGGAGCGTCAATGCATGTACTGCTGCGGCGCAATTTGGAGCCAAAAGTCCAGAGCTGGATGTTGGCGCCGTTGCTGAGGCCGGCCATCGCGGCCGCCGTCATGGCGAGCACGGGCAGCGCCCCCTGGCCAGTAGCCACCTCGAGCGGGCGCAACAACTTCTGCAGCTCCGCGGGGAGGTGCTCGCTCGCCGAGAAGTTGTTGTCAACGTAGTCGTTCACGGCGTCTGCCAAGGCCTGGATCTCCGCGCCTGTAATCTCGGGCGCCCGGTTAGAGGGGGCCATGTCCCGCGGCAAACCTCAGAGAAGGCGTCGCCCTGCACGCGTGCGCAAGTGAAGGAGCAATTAACCGGGGAGTACAAACCAGGTGTTAGGTTATGTAGCTTGATAACAAAGTGGCACGTGCCGCGGTGAATGCATGGGAGTGAAGCTTTTGGAAGATTCCCGCATCTGTCTAATCACTGCCGCCGATCGATCGCGCCCCTAGCCACTTTCCCGACAAATGAACTGCACGTTCCAACCCCTGTCCAAAACAAACCACCGCCTTGTCTAATTAACATATGAGCGTTCGCGTTGTGTTTGTTCGTTTGTTGTTATGTTTCGTTGCATTGATGTATGTGTCTTCTTTATTGTTTCTTCTTCTTCTTCTTTTTTTTTGGGGGGGGCAGCCCCCCTCTGTGCGCCAGCAAGGCGTGAAATCGGAATGGGCCGAGCGGTAGGCCCAAATAAACCGGTCGTTGGGCCCCCACCGAAAAAAAACTGCCCGGGAACAGTCGACGCCCCATCCTCCCAACGTCCAATCCTGCAACTGCGAGAGACCGTCGACATGGGGTCAGGCGGGAACGCAAACATTCGGTTGCCCGAGGATGTCAACTGTCGGATAAGCAATGAGTCAGTCGCGTGCAATCAGACGGTGGCTGGCGACACGCATGAACATGTCAAGGAAATTCAATGCACCTGACACCTGGTTTACGAACCCTGGTAATGAGGCCTCAAGAAAACTCAGAACCGAAGCGGCTGTGGTTGCCGATGGCAATCGGGGCAAGGCGGAGGGGCGGACGCAACGAATCTGACGGCGCGGGAGACGACGCCAAAGCCCCTGGACATCATCGACGACGTGCGGACGGGCGAGAACTGGCTGGACAACGATGAGTTCGGCGGCGTCAGCAAAGGCGATGGCGACGACCATGGCAACGACGACTGCGGCGACGGGCCTTCTTGTCGCAGACAGCGCTCAGCCAATGCAAGTCAGGGCGCGCAAGGAGGTGGTTTCGGGCAAATGGGGGCCGTTCCAATTGGGGCCGCGAATGCAAATGCAAGAGTTCGTTGTGCGAGCGAGCCACCCCGCACGACATCGCGGAACTAGTGCGAATTATTGCGACGACGGGCTCGATTATTGTGTCGACCAAAACCTTTGGCGCATGGGCAGGCAAAGCTATGGCATCTTGTCACGACAGCGATTGCAAACCATTGTTCCCTGAGAGCGAGACTAAGCAAGCAATTGTAACGCAGAAACAAATCATCGCAGTCGAGCGCACGAACTATTGCATCCCGATTACTGCGCGGGGCATTGCATGATGAATACGCGCAGTACGAACAGTTGCATGCACCTGCGCGCGCATTTGCGGCCCCCTTTGCATTGAATCCGGCTGCCCGATTCTAAAGGAGGGGCTGCGGGAACCTCGCCTGGCGCATGCAAGCGGCGCCTTGCCGCTGAACAAGCGCCGTTAATCTGGCCGGACCGGCGGGGGCGGCCGCCGGGCGACGACGCCAGGTCGCCGACAGAGCGCATCCAGGCGCGCATTTAAATCGCCGCCGTGGAAGCGCGGGAAGCCTTGATTCTGCAGCAGCGGCTGCGCGGCAAGCGCCTCCTCAAGCGCGGGCCACGTCAACGCCAAGGGGCGGAGATCGAAGACAGCGCCCATGTGCAGGACGTCGAACGAGAGAGCTGGGGCGAGGTACGCGGTCAGCTGGTCACGGAGGCGCTCCGGAATCGCGCGGAGCAAGCGCTGCGCGTCGTCGGCATTGCAGCCGCGCTGCGCTGGCCCAGCGCAGACCGCAACTCCGGCAGCGGTGTCCTTCCCGAAAATGACCCGGGCCCCAGGGCATGCGAAAGCCATTGTGTTCCCAGGGTGCCCTTTAAAATACCCCTGGCACTCGAAAAACTTCTCGCCGTCAGCGAGAGCAGCTGCCCAAACCGGCAAGAGCCTCCGGCGCGCGATAATCGCCTGCGCCGCATCCGGGGCGGCGCCCGCGGCCGCTGCCCTGCCCGCGCCCGCGGGCGCTCCTGCCGGGGCCGAGCCCGCGGCGGGAATCTCTGCGGGCACCGGGCGTGGGGGAAGCGCGCGGTCGAGCCGGGCTGCCTTCCGGGCCGCCCTGGCAGCCCCGCGCGCCGCTTCCTGGGCGCGCAACTCATTGTGAACGTCCACGCATTCGCCCACGATGAAGTCGCAGACCCACCGCCCCATGTGGTGTACGGTGTGCGCCAAGGGCGACAGCTGCGCGTTGACAGACTCGCATATCGGCGTGGGGAAATCACCCAGGGCGGCAGCGTTCGCGGGCACGTCTGGGAAGCATTCCGCCTTGCACGTGGCATCGACGTGCCCTTTGCTGTGGGGTCGGTCGACGACGTACCGAAACTGGCCCAGGCGAACGGCCAGGCTGCCGGGCGCTGCGCCCTCCGCCCTGCCCTTGGCGAATAAACGCACGCGGCACGCGTCGTCGTGCACGAGCGTCTTGAGCTCCGGGACGGCACTTGCCACGTCTGCCAAAAAGCAATAGCGCTGGGAAAGCGTCTCAGCAGTAATCACTTCTTCAAGAGCACCGACAATCCCGCTCTCTGAGACTGCGGCAAGGAAGCCGGCCGACCGTTCTGCCGCGCGGATGGCCGAGACAGACTCCTTGTGCGTCTTGCACGAGCACTTGTCTTTAGCGTATCCGGAAGCCCAGTCGCCTAAGACCAAGCGAAGCGGTTGTCGGCGCAACTCCCTGCGCTCTTGACGACGGCGTTTGCGCTCTTGAATGGCCTGTTCTGCATTCTTAGCGAAATACGCTTGCACGGTCGAGTCGGGGACCGTGCACGCGGGCTGCCAATTAGCGAAGCCCGTCATTCGCACTTCAACGTCAAGGTAAGCCATGGCGGACAGGGGCGCCCGCACGCGGTGCGCTTCGACTTCTCCAGCGAGGGCAGGGCGGTCGGCGAGCTCCTGGTGACGCCGGCAAAGCACTCCTTTCTGCAAAGGCGACTCTGGGCAACCACGCACCAAGTGCAAGTCCAGGGCGTCGTGGTAAACGGCCTCGGCGCACGGCGCGCCGCACGATCGCCGGTACAGCTTGGCGTTGCCGTCGACGCAGACGATGTCCATCCTGTCTCCGCTGGCCCGCCACGCGCGGAGGCGGCGCTCCTTCATGAGAGGGCGGTACCAGGATGCGCAACTCTGCAGGAAGCTCTCCAGAGGCAATTCCAACAAAGAGCTTGCCAGGGCAGCGCGAGCGCCCTCGCGCTCCAAAGATCTCTGCCACATCTGGTGCCGCACCCATGCGGATTCCAGCGATTGCTCCAGAGTCTCCGTGGCGACTTCTGGTTCCAACGCCCGCAAGATCTGGGCCTCTCCAAGGAAGGACGCCCTGTGCGCGTACAAACGGCAGGCCCACCGCTGCGCCCACTGATCATGCACGCCGAAAGACTTGTTGAGCATGAAGATCTCTGACGCAGGACAACCGGTATCCACCCTCTTCGTGAAACCGCCCTGGCCATTCCCAGAAGGGGACTCAACGTACCCACGCCAGTACTTATACATGTGCCCCTTGTCGCAACTGCGTTTGCATTGTTTGGCGTAGTGACGCATTACAAGACACCGCGGCTCCGCCACAACTAAGCATTTCACCGGGCTCCTTTGCGGCACAGGGACCAACGGGCCCGAACAAACAGGGCAGCATGACCAGGTCGTCGTGAGCTCTGGCAGGAGCGCCGCCCTGGCGCCTGCAGCACTGGAGCCCCCGCTGGATGCGGCTGCCGGGGCAGAACCAGGCACGGCGTCGCGTGAGCTTGCGGGCGCGCCCATGGCCCGCGGGCCGGACCCTGGGCGCGTAGCAGAGCAAGACCGCGGATGCGCCGCCGCAGCGCCACTGGCGCCGGAGCCCCTGCAGGATGCGGCTGCCGCGGCGGAACTACGCACGGCGTCGTCTGCGCCGGCAAGCGCCTCCATGGCCTGGGGCCCAGGCCCCGGGCGCGCAACTGCAACGCAAGCCTTCCACAACGGCCGCACCGGCGGCGGAGGAGCACTGGCGGACGGTTGGCGGTGCGCCCGCAGGTCCGCTGCTCGCCACAACGGTCGCACTGGCGCCGCGCCAGCGTCCACAGTGCAGCGGCCACCGTGTTCACGACCGCCTCCTGTCCCAGGCGGCGCGAGGAGTGGTTGCTGCGCCGCCGGGCGAAGCGGTGAAGAAGGGGAAGTCGACGACTGGCGTGGAGACCATAATGGCCGCACGGGCAGCATGCAGGACAGCGAAGTAGCGTCCGCCAGACGCGAGCGAAAGACGGCTCGAGCCAAAATGCTTACGCAGACTAGAGCGGGGAAGGAGAAGGAGGAGGAGCAGCACCAAGAGGAGGAGGACCTCTTTATTCCTCCAATGACATCTGGCGACCTGTGGAGTAGTCCCACCAGCCCTCTGGGCGTAGGTGGTCTAAGGAGTTTCCTCTTCCAACCCCCTTCTTCCCCATCGGGGAAGGGTGTACCCCTCCCCCTACCCCCTCCCCCTGCACCTGGACGAGGCGTTCCGCGACGCGTTGGGGCCCCCAAGATAGCCCAAGACGGCTCCAAAAGGGCCTCAGAGAGTCCAATATGGCCTCCAAGATAGCTCAACAGAGCGCAAAAACGCTCAATATGGCTTCCAAGATGCTTCAAGAGGCCCCAAGACCGCCCCAAGACGGTCCTTAGTTGCCAAAAAGCTCCCCAATCTTTACAAAACCCACAGAAACCAATGTTTGTTGCTTTCTTGCCTTTTCGCTTCCGATGGCCTTCCGAGGCCTCAAGTCAGCTCGAAGAGGGCCCATGAGGGCCCCAAGAGAGGCCCAAGAGAGCCCCAATACTGTCCCAAGAGAGCCCAAAAGCGCTCCAAGATCGCCCCAAGAGGGGTCCAGGAGGGGATTCTTGGGACTCCCGAGGGGCAGGGCGAATTGCGACCATCCCCTTCTTTGATCGATGTCCTCCAAGATGGCCCCAAGAGCGCCTCGAAAGCTCCCAAAGGCGCTCCAAGGTCGCCTCATCACTTCAACTCCCCTGGGCAGCGTTTCTGGATGGGCTGGTGGGGATGCGCGAAGCGTCAACAATTTCTTGGAGGCTGCCTCTTCGGCTGCCTTGTTGGCTGCCTAGATGGTCTCCAATATGTCCCCAACGCAGCCTCCGAAACGCTGAACAATGCTCCACGAGAGCCCCAAGACTGCCTCAAAGGCGTCCGAAATCCGCCACCGTGCCTGCACGGAGTGGGCGCGTTAGAATGCTCATCTGGTCCATTTTTGGGAAAGTTTCTATTTTTCTAGGGCCGCCCCCCCCCTCCCCCTCGCGCGCACCCATCGCAGACTGGCCCCCCTGAAATTGCTCCCCGGCGTTCTTTTCAGCCTCCAGACGGCCACGATGGCCTCCAAGAGGGCCCTCTGGTTCTGGTTCCGGGTCTGGTTTTGGCTCTGGCTCTGGTTCTGGTTCTGGCTCTGGTTCTGGCTCTGGGGCCGGCTCGGCTCTGGCTCTGCCCATGGTTCTGGGTTTGGCTTTGGCTCTGGCTCTGGCTCTGGTTCTGGTTCTGGCTCTGGCTCTGGTTCTGGTTCTGGCTCTGGCTCTGGTTCTGGTTCTGGTTCTGGCTCTGGCTCTGGTTCTGGTTCTGGCTCTGGCTCTGGCTCTGGTTCTGGCTCTGGCTCTGGCTCTCGTTAAGGTTATGGTTTGGCTCTGGTTCCGGTTCTGCTTCTGGATCTGGCTTTGGTTGTGGTTCTGGTTCTGGCTATGGTTCTGGTTCGGGCTCTGGCTCTGCCTCTGGTTCTGGCTCTGGCTCTGGCTCTGGTTCTGGTTCTGGCTCTGGCTCTCGTTCTGGTTCTGGCTATGGTTCCTGTTCTGCTTCTGGATCTGGCTCTGGTTCACGCTCTGGTTTCTGTTCTGGTTCTGGCTATGGTTATCGTTCTGGCTTTGTTTCGGGCTCGGGGGCCGGCTCTGGTTCAGGCTCTAGTTCTGGCTCTGGGTCAGGTTCTGTTCTGGCTCCGGCTCGGGTTCTGACTCTGGTCATGATGGTGTTGGTTCTGGTTCTGGCTCTGGTTCTGGCTCTGCCTCTGGTTCTGGGTTTGGTTTTGGCTCTGGCTATGGTTCTTGTTCTGGCACTGGTTCTGGCTCTGGTGCCGCTTCTAGTTTTGGCTCTGGTTCCGGTTCTGGCTTTGGCTCTGGTGTTGATTCTCGCTGTGGTTCTCGCTTTGGTTCGGGCTTTGGCTCTGGATCTGGTTCGGGCTCTGGCTCTGGTTCTGGTTCTGGCTTTGCTTCTGGCTCTGGTTCTGGGTCTGGCTTTGGTTCAGGCTCTGGTTCTGCTTCTGGTTCTGGCTCTGGGGCCGGCTCTGGCTCTGGTTTTGGCTATGGTTCTGGCTCTGGCACTGCTTGTCTTTCTGGGGTTGGGTCTGGGTGTGGTTACGGCCACGGCCGAAGATTTTGGTCGATAATGGCCGGTTTTTGCACGCCTTCCTACCGCGAGGGGATTCCAAGAAGCCTCTGGCGCATTTCCCTTGCGATTTGTATTGCGCGTGCCATCGATTTTGCGCCATTCTGCGCCGTTGGGCCCCTTGCGCGCCCCCGGGGGCCCAGAGCGCCGGAAAAAAGAAACATATTCGTCGTTAGCGCCGGTTTTTGTTCGATTCCAGGACGAAGGGTGTCCGGAAACTTCGGATCATCTGTTTCCCCAGATGGCGTTCATACATTTTCCGCGTCGACAGAAGGCCTGGCGCGGGGTCGGCCGGTAAACGTTTTTTTAGCTATCGAAAGGCGGCTGGGGCTTCCAGAAGTTTCCGCCCCCGGGCACCTCGTGGGCATCCCCGGGGGACCCCAGATACGCCCTCGCTGTTTCTGCTGCGTTCTCCGGCGGGGTGGGTGGGAACGGAGGGAGGAGGAGGGGGAAGGAAGGATGCCAATGCTTTTGGCCGCGGGCCGCGGAGACTGCCCCCCCCCGCGCACGCCCGTGAAAGGCGCGGCGAAAACATAATAAACAATCACGTCGTGCATCAGCTGCACTTACCGCCTGCCCCTCGTGCTCATCATCCCTGACGGCCCCCGCCCCCTCCGCCTTTTCTCCACCCCCTCTTCCGTATCCGCCCCCTCCTGCGCATAATGATCCTCCTCATCCTGCCTTCCCGCTCCCGCCCTCGCCTACCTCGCCCACCTCTCCCGCCTACGCCTCCTCTTCTCCTCCATCCTCCTCCTCCCCCTCCTCCTCCTCCTCCTCCTCCTCCTCCTCCTCCTCCTCCTCCTCCTCCTCCTCATTCTCCTCCTCCTCATCTTCCTCCTCCTCCCCCGACGAGCGCCCCGCCTCCCGCAGCCACTCCGGCCGTCTCACGTGCGCGCGGGTCAGATCCCGAGCAACTTCTGACGCCGATGGCCCTGCCTCTGCTCCCTGCGCTTCGCCGCCGCCTGCAGAACAGCGTGCCGGTCCTTCACCTCCTGCTCGCTCATGCCGACGCGCCCCGCCATGGCCGCCCCCTGCGCACCCCCTCCCCGGAGAAAGACTTTCGCCGCCTTCACGACGATTTCGTCCTTCGTCTTCTGCTCGGCGAGCTCTGCAGGGGTGGGTTTCTGCCAGAACGACTCCTGCAAGTCGATGTGAAACCAGACGAGATGCCCGTTCTTCGGGGTCTTGCTCTGCCTCCATGCCGTCTCGTCGAGCCACGACCGCATCTCGGCGTTGAAGTCGGCCTCCTCCTGGGTCTCCTGGAGAGCGTCGCCTTGCACGGCGCAAACCACGGGCGTCACGCTAGGAAGGAGCGCGTTCGGGCAGAGCGAGGGCGGGCCCAGCGCCAGCCTGAACGCGCGCAACCTTCCGCGATGGTCACCTTTGGGTTTACGCAATGCGACCTGACACGTGGTCGTACGGGTCCCGCTTCTTCCCCCCCTTCTCGACGGCGTCCGTTTGGCCCTCGTTCTTCTCCATGTCTGCCGAGTCCTGCTGGGGGCCGCGGTCCTCTTGCTTGCGCCCCTGCTCCGCGTCCGTCTGTCGCTGCACCTCCTGCGCGTTCTGCTCCAGTTTCTGCTCGCGGCCGCGCTCCGTCTGGCCCAGCCCCCGGTCTCCGGCCGTTTGCCACCCCTGCTCTTCCGGTCGGTTCCCCGACATCTGCTCGCGGCCTCGCTCCTTTGCGTCGGGCTCCTTCTCCCAGTACTTCTGCCGCTTCCAGTCCGCGCCCTCCTCCCCCTGCCAGTCCCAGTGATTGCGCTTCTTCCAGGTTCCCTGCGTCTGCGCCGAGGACTGCCACTTCTGCCACCCCTGCGTCGGACAGCGCAGGCTCCGCGGCGAAAATGCGCATCCCAGGGGCACCTCCGGCATCGCGCAGAAAGAACTTTCTTAGACATTCACCCCCTGTCTCCCCCAAGCAGACCGCGGGGGGAACTGGCCGTGCTCTTCTCTTCTCTCTGCGCGCCGCCCGAGGTGCCCCGGAAAATGCGATCGCGCGCATTTGTCCGCGGGGCGCGCCGCCCGCCCACGCCTGGCCCCACTCGGCGCTCGACCGCGAGGTGTTCGACCACGCGGCGTTCCAGCCGCCGCGCCACCAGCTGCCGCCCGAGCTGTCGCCCTTGCTGCGCTGGTCCTCCTGCGCGTTTTGCGCGGGCTCCCTGGGCCGCGTGGCGGTGGACTGCGGGGCCCATCCACCACCGCGCCACCAGCTGCCACTGTGGCCCTCCGGCGTCTCCTTCGGCGCGCCCTCGCCTCCCGGCGCACTATGGTCGTTGTCGCCCTTGGTGTCGGTCTTGCTCAGCTGGCACCCTGTCCCGCGCTCCGCGGGCCTGGTCTTCTCCGCGCTCGCCGGGGCCACGGCCGCGCGCGCGGTGGCGGCCAACTCCGGGCTCGCCTTGGCGAACCACGTCTCCTGGATCAGGGCGGGACGTTGTTCCAAGTTTGGGGACGTGCGTGGCCTGGGAATGGCAACGCTCGAGACTCCGATGTTGAATCTGGCTCTGTCTTTGGTGCTGGGGCTGGCGCGCATGCGCACAGAGGTGTATGTGCATGTGCCAATGGCCATCCGTACATGCGAGAGCGAGTTTTGCATGCTCGTGGCGGTGGACAAAATATTGTTTGTGTTTGCTTCGGGTTGTGGCTATTGTAGATGGCGTGGTGGTGGTGGTGGTGGTGTGTGCATGGTGTGTATGCTGCTATAACTATGTTGATGCAGGTGGGCATCGTTCTGCTATGTATTTCGGCATGGCTCTTGGTGCACAATGAATATGGGTATTGTTGTGGGTGTGGGTTTTCCGACGGCCCCCGGTCCTGCGCAGCGGCTGGCAGGCCACGCAGCAACCTCACGACGGCTCGGCGTTTGGGCTCTGCGGGCAACACTCCGAGCAGCAGCGTGTTGCACAACGTGCAGATT